ACCTCCTTTGCACCTACTTTTACATTTGTATAATATTATCAGGGTTTTTTTCCTTAACAATTTCGGCCCAAATTATAAAAGCCTCAGTTCCACACATAGGCCCACCCTGGCAGAAGGAATATGTTGGGAGAGGAATGAATTCCCCCTTGGAAAAAGAGCCAAAGGGAAATAGTAGAATTGAGTTGGAGGCAGATCTGGAGCTGTCTCCTGTGGGGAGAGAGAGAGGTGAACCCTTTCAAGACCTTACTCCTAATGGCAAATGACGTCCAGGTTCGAAATCCCTAGGAATACCTCTTTGGAGAGGCAATCCTAAGACTTTGGAGACCTCAGAACACAGCTGGGTTAGCAGGAAGACAGGAAAGTTAGGTTCAGGGAGCCAACCTCTCCAAATTTGCTCTAAGAGTAAGTGCTCGCCAAGAACAGTTCCCCAGGAATTGTACAAGCTGAAGACAGTTAAAGCGGTGTCCTAGCCGCTAGGTTCCTGCTTGAAGTCCTTGGAGCAGACGCAATTCTGAAAGGCAGTACATCCTGGTCACCACATGGCGGCTCCACACCAGGCTTCTTCTAGAGTTTTAAATTTCTAATTTTTACTTCTCTTTACTAAAATTACCGTTCTTCTTATTATAAAATAAAAACACGAATTGAAAAGTTAGGTAATACCCAAGACGGCCAGAGGTTTCACTATTAAGGAAAAGCTACTGACTCTGTTACTGTATAAACTTCCAAACCTGTCTAAACGTCATATATAAAAATTTATATATACAGTATATTGATATGTATATCATTTATGAACACATATTCTATTACACACATTTTAAGACAAAACGGGGGTCGTTCTGGACTCTTCTTACTATATCATGAGCATCTTTCCATACCAAGTTCTTCAACTTTTAAATGATGGTATTTGATACCATTTTCCATTAAAACATTATGATAAACGCATTGTAGAGAATTCTGCATGGCTACCTACTGGAATTTACCAAGCTATTTTCCTATTGTTGAAAGCACTCAAGGCAAAGATAGTGCTACAGCTGTCCAAAACATAAAGCCAATTCCCTGGGCTCAGGACTTAAAACTGCAGAAGTGACAGGGCCAGGAGCGACGCGGCCTGGCGGGGACGCGGGTCGAGGCCCTGCCCGCACGTTCCAGCGCTCCAGAGGCCGAACCCAGCAGCCACTGCCACGGGGACAGGACGTTTGGTACCCAAGTCCCCGGGTTGGTCCCGGGGGCGCCCGGCGCAGGCACAGAGCTGGTCTGTGCGCCCAGTGCGCAGCGGCCACCAGAGGACGGCAAGGGGCGGGGCGACCTCGCGGTGGGCGGGCCCTGGTGGGCGGGGCACCGAGAGGAGGGCGGGGCCAGGCGGGGCAGCAGGCGGGTGGCGGCGCTGCCGTTCGCCGCTCAAGCTGCAGGTGGGGCTGTGCGGCCGCGCTGCCTCCAGGAAGCCTCACGGGCCTTCGTCGCCTGGCCGCAGCGCCGGCTCCCAGGATGCAGTGTGGACCGGCCGGGCACTGACGGCGGCGGTGCGTCTGCGGGCGGAGCGGCGGCAGGCCGGCCACTGAGGAGCGCGGCGGGGAAGGC